AGTGATCGCCGGCACAGTGGCGATCTGGGTTTAATTTTAACACATGACGGACCCGGTCCGTCATCCGTCTTTAATGGGTTAAATAGAGGATCTCTTACTAACTATAAAAAATTATGGCTCAGATATCTGTATGGTTAGCCCTGCTAAGTTCTATGCTTTAAGACGTTATAGTGGTAAATAAGGGGACAAGCTGCGTTTACAATTGGCGCCCAACATGGGGCTTATACTTGGAAGCTTTAACTATAAAATAATATATACCTAGGTGTAACTTCTTACACGTAAGAAAAGACACAATACTTTGTCATGGCACAAGTCTTGAAATATCAAGAATATAATGAGCTATTTGTAGCCCAGTCTCCGAGAGAGATTTTCATCATGAAGAGATGATTTTATGTGAACTTGTACTAGGCACTTGGAGTTCACGTGCCAGATACATTGCAATTAGCATACAATGCTGAAATTGTGGATCTCAGATAATATTGTAAGAGAACATATGTTACGTATGTGGTAAACTCCCTAATATGCCTAATACACCAGCACAGCATGGTCCATTAGTTCCAGGAGAGTGGTTTGTAGGTAGGGGGCAGCCATGTTCTCTCTGTTGCTGCATAAGTTTGCATGCCCAGAAAAAAACGATTAATGCAAGATGTTGTCAAGAGAAAAGTGATAAGACAAAGCGATGAAAGCAACACTTGCCATTATATTACTAATAGATTTCAAAGTCTAATTCCAAGAATGCAAAGAAAATTGCATTATGGTTTAATGAAAACATTCATGCCACAGAAGCAACAGACAGGATTTTTAATTATTGCATTACTGCCTGCGGATTGTAATATCCACTATATATGAAAAGTTGTATAAAACAGTGATAATTTCCATATTGTCAGTTACACTTGCTGTTGATTAAAAAATCTGGAATTATAACAGCATCTGGCGTCTGTGATTTTCAGACAAGGTCGCAGAGTTAGAAACAGATAAACAATTCCAGGTAATTGAGATTTTTATATATATATATATATATATATATATATATATATATATACAAATTATGAACACCTTTATTACTTGCAGCCATAAAGAGAAAGGCATGTCTTTTAAAAACATTGATTGCAGTACACTGCAGCATATATTTTATATAATACATTGTAACTAGCTTATATTTTTACATAAACAGAGTTGAAATTATACTCCCCCTCCTCCCCCGAAAATCTGTTAATATCAAAAAATATAACAGAAGGGCAATAGGTTGTTATGCATCCTTTGCTTCTCTAAATGCTCTGCAAAAATAAATATTTGTAAAAGAATTAAAAATAAATAATATATGTAAGATAAATCAGGGCAAAATAAGATTGTAAATATACAGGATCTCTGATAACTTTTAAACTGAAATTGTTGAAAGGTTTATTTAAATAAAATGTTAAATACATTTTCAGCAATATGGAAAATACTGTAGTTCATATGCTTAGTAATTGTAAGTATTTGCTTATTGATAATTAGACCACATTACTGATGTACTGTTTATTGAACTATTAATACCTAACATACTTTTTGAATTACTTTATATTGGACATATGCCAACATCTCATGGTTATAAATATGTTTTTGTATGTGTTGATGCATGTACCAGGTGTACTTGGATATATTCTGTGCGAAGTGCAACCTCTGATACCACAATTGCTAGTCTCACTTCCTTAGTATGCATTTGGAAGTCCCAGGGCCATCCACTTGGATGATGGTCCTGCAACTACTGCAAAGGAAACCCAAAACTGGGCAACCACATCAATGAAATCAGTGCACCCAACCACCCCAAAGTAGTGGGGTTGTGGAATGGAAAAATGCTGAGGTGAAATGACTATTAACCAAGTTACTAGTTGCTTGCCCCCACACAGTGGTATCTACTTATTCATATGGTACAGATAAGCATTAACAACATATTAGATGATACCAATGGTGAGACAGCATATGAAATGTTACACATTTTTCACTGACAATCATATTTCTGCACCAGGGAGAGCTTAGAACCATTGGTTATATTAGAGAAAATGAGGGAATTTTTTTTCCAGCCCACCTCACCATGCACCACCACCTACTTCCTACTGTTGGCCAGTTTGTCCTGGAGAGGGTGACTCCAAGAAATTTTACTACAGAGAACAATCAGAGCCAACAGAGAAAAGTATGTTTTGATATTTTAAAACCTGCTAAATACTTCCAAGATGTTCACAGAACGACTGACTGACACAATGGATGCTGTTAAAGGACCACTATAGGCACCCAGACCACTTCAGCTTAATGAAGTGGTCCGGGTGCCAGGTCCAGCTAGGATTAACACTTTTTTCTGTAAACATAGCAGTTTCAAAGAAACTGCTATGTTTACCTATGGGTTAATCCAGCCTCTAGTGGCTGTCTCATTGACAGCCGCTAGAGGGCTTCTGCGCTTCTCACTGTGATTTTCATTGATAATGCTTTCCTATGGACTGGCTGAATGCACGCGCGGCTCTTGCCGCACATGCGCATTCAGCCAGTGACGGAAGAAGATGGAGGAGAGGAAGAGGAGAGCTCCCCGCCCCACGCTAGAGAAAGAGGTAAGTTTAACCCCTTCCTACCCCTAGAGCCCGGCGGGAGTGGGACCCTGAGGGTGGGGGCACCCTCAGGGCACTATAGTGCCAGGAAAACGAGTATGTTTTCCTGGCACTATAGTGGTCCTTTAAAGAAGGCAAGACAAAACAAACAGAGGACAGCAGAAATGCCACCAGAATACAACCACCAGATTCACAGCCACAAAACAGACTGATTCATGATCTGACATCTGAACCTGCAAATGTGAAGGAGAAGGATGAACAGACAGACATGATACATTTACAGTTGACATGGAATATATGAAAAATGAATAATCAACATCATCAGAAAAACTCTGGAGAAAACAGACTGTACCTGAATTATCTTATTCAGTAATAAAGAAATGCAAAAATGGAAGCAAAAGGATACTGGAAAATTGGTTATGGTGTCTCCTTCTTAAAATCTGCAGCATTATCATAACATCAACCCTAGCTGTCGTTTTAAAACTGCATTGGGATTATGTTAACAAGCCAGAAGCACCTGAACTGAATTGGACTGCACATAATACAAGTTCTGTGATCGTGAGGACAACTTCCAAGAACCATCTCAAAAGAAGAGACACAGCTCACTGTGAAGAGACACAGTGAAATGATTGCTAATGTGACCTACACTGGTATTTCACAAGGAACCTATTCAAGATCATTCCAAAAAATGATTATACATGAGAAAGATGTGATTGGACTATTTCAAATCCTAATAATGGACTCAACGATGATGGCAAAGCATGCTGGAATCAGAAAAAGATGGGGCAGATGCTTGTGAAAGACTTTGGATGCACCTATGAAGGTGATGCAAGAAAATACTTTCCCATATAGTTTATCATTGAATGAATACCGTAAACAGCCTTCTTATACTGAAAAGAAGTGCTATGCTAATTCTGGACATTGCTCTTATGTTTCCAGACAGAAGATGACTGGAAAAAGAAATAAAGGCTGATAACTGTCAACACCCAGCTATTTGTCAAGAACATGGTACTGAGAATACCTGATTGACTATCAAAGCACCTCACAGTACAAGACACAGGTTTTTACCTACAACTCAGAAAAAAAGTGGTTAATAGGAAGAAGCAGAAGAAGAGGAATATAGATTTCCGGGGGGCGGGGCCTGACCGCCAGTGGGATCAGACGTGCTCTGTCTGATCTCCCGCTTCAGGGCTGAAAAATCGGCAATAACTAGGGGCCAAAACCGAACCAGCAATCCACAACGGTGACCAACTTGATCCCCAGCTGCTGGGGCATGCGGGGATACCCCCAAGTCCCTACCTGGCACCAACAGTAACCCAAAAAGGGCCCAGAGCGTGCAGGAACTTGAGCTGGGATGAGCCGGCCGCTGTCCCGGGTCCCCAGCCGGCGTCTGGCTTCCCCCTCCCCCCGTGGGGGTCATCCCGGTCTGCACAGGCAGCCACTCATGCGCCAATCACCCTGCAGTGGAAAACATATGGAGCAGCACCCTTCAAGATGGCCGCCGCACACAAGCCATGTGCGCGACTTGCTGACATGACGGAGCTGATTGCGGAGGGGATAAACCAGCTAGCTTAGGGTAAGCCCGGGACGAAGACACCTCTTACCACAGCTGGAGAGAGAGTGGAGCTGGAAGAATTCCTGAACCCTCTGTCCGCAACTGACAGCCCCTGTGGGAGCTGTGCTCTCATGCCGCACTGCGTCTTAACCAGGCGCCCTTCCCAAGCAACAACAAGCCTGCACTCAGCTACAGTCACGCCCCATGAGGAACAGCTCAACCACCATCCAGATGAGCACCAGACTCCTGTAAATGTTGATCCCTTCCACCGTGCACTGAGCTGGACTGATGTGTCTCCTTGTCACAGCCTACAAACCTTAAAGGACCACTCTAGGCACCCAGACCACTTCAGCTTAATGAAGTTGTCTGGGTGCCAGGTCCAGCTAGGGTTAACCCATTTTTTCATAAACATAGCAGTTTCAGAGAAACTGCTATGTTTATGAATGGGTTAAGCCTTCCCCTATTTCCTCTAGTGGCTGTCTCATTGACAGCCACTAGAGGCGCTTGCGTGCTTCTCACTGTGATTTTCACAGTGAGAGCACGCCAGCGTCCATAGGAAAGCATTATGAATGCTTTCCTATGTGACCGGCTGAATGCGCGCGCAGCTCTTGCCGCGCGTGCGCATTCAGCCGACGGGGAGGAGAAGAGGAGGATCGGAGGAGGAGAGCTCCCCGCCCAGCGCTGGAAAAAGGTAAGTTTTAACCCCTTTCCAGAGCCAGGCGGGAGGGGGTCCCTGAGGCTGGGGGCACCCTCAAGGCACTATAGTGCCAGGAAAACGAGTATGTTTTCCTGACACTATAGTGGTCCTTTAAGTGACTCCATCCTCTCCACCAGTACAGAGACAATTGAAGCCTAACATTACGCGGGCTCTACAGGAGACAGCAGGCTTAAGTTAAACTCTTGCCACCTAAAGCCCGGTACCCCTTACTCTACACTGCGACAATGTTCCCTGTCCTACCAGCTTCGCCCACAGATCAATGTTAACTAACAGCGATAGACTTGGCTCCAGTGGTCCTAACTAAGCATTGTCTAGCTAGCGTGTGAAACAATATCCACTACTCAAAAGGTTCAAATCGCGCTTCTCATAACATACTTGTCGCATACCTTCAGAAACTTCACCACGTTTGTCTAACATGATTCCTTCGGCACAACCTCGAGACACATACCACTCCGGACTGAGATGGGTTCGCTCGAGGAAAATGGATGCTGTGGGCTGGGGCGACGGTAACTGTCTGTGCAACGGTGCGGTGGGGGATTATTGCCTATATGTTGAGGGTGACCTCAAGGGCTGTTTCATGTGCCACATTTAGTGCAAAGGGAAAGCGGCTTAAAATAACACCCTGCCTTACTGTACTACACGGCTCTCCCAATCTCCTTCCCTAATTCTGTTAAAAACAAAAAGCGCGCTGCTTAGTTCATACTAAGTCTACCCTTTTATACTCGAGATGGCAAAGTAGCGATAAGTACCTGTAAGGCCTTTCCCAGAAACTTAACCCAGAATTGCTGTATGTATTATCAGGTGAGGTCAGGCTGTTTCCCACTACATGCATGATGCTCAGCATAGCTCTTCAGCATAGCTCACAATTAACAGAGTGTATGCCTCTATGATGTCTCCACAATTTGACATAACATAATTAATCTACTATAAACTAAAAATAATGCAGTTTATTCTTACAAAAGTTAACACCTGTTTATTAACCCTCATAAAAATGTGTGAGTTATATTGATGTCCTAAAATGATTGTATGCTTTGTGAATTCTCTGGCTTGTTACCTGCTTTTGGAGCGGAACAAGCATGTATGTAACACTATGCACAGTAAAAATACACTGCTCAAAAAAATAAAGGGAACACTTAAACACAATGTAACTCCAAGTCAATCACACTTCTGTGAAATCAAACTGTCCACTTAGGAAGCAACAGAGTGACAATCAATTTGACATGCTGTTGTGCAAATGGGATAGACAACAGGTGGAAATTATAGTCAATTAGCAAGACACCCCCAATAAAGGAGTGGTTTTGCAGGTGGTGACCACAGACCACTTCTCAGTTCCTATGCTTCCTGGCTGATGTTTTGGTCACTTTGGAATGCTGGCGGTGCTTTCACTCTACTGGTAGCATGAGACAGAGTCTACAACCCACACAAGTGGCTCAGGTAGTGCAGCTCATCCAGGATGGCACATCAATGCGAGCTGGGGCAAGAAGGTTTTCTGTGTCTGTCAGCGTAGTGTCCAGAGCATGGAGGCGCTACCAGGAGACAGGCCAGTACATCAGGAGACGTGGAGAAGGTCGTAGGAGGGCAACAACCCAGCAGCAGGACCGCTACCTCTGCCTTTGTGCAAGGAGGAACAAGAGGAGCAGTGCCAGAGCTCTGCAAAATGACCTCCAGCAGGCCACAAATGTGCATGTGTCTGCTCAAACAGTCAGAAACAGACTCCATAAGGGACGTTTGACATTTGCCAGAGAACACCAAGATTGGCATATTCACCACTGGCGCCCTGTGCGCTTCACAGATGAAAGCAGGTTTGCACTGAACATATGTGACAGAGTCTGGAGACGCCGTGGAGAACGTTCTGCTGCCTGCAACATCCTCCAGCAATTAACGAAAGAAACCTTGATGCAATTTGTAACGGATCACCTGGCACCCCGACTGGGTACATCCGTTGAAGGATGCTCCTAGCACTTCCTGAGGACTCCAAGCACTGCAGCAGACACCACAACCACTGCAGACTCCGCACCCGCTGTAGCTTGACTGGAGTCTCGCCGTCTTCCTTCCACCCTGGATCAGCTTCTGTCCTCCAGGACCATGAGGGAAAGACTTCCAGTATCCAGGACTGTGCGGGGAAGACCTCTCCTCCAAGGAGAGCGTGTCAGGAACAAGCTCTTAAAAGAGCTAAGTGATTCAAGCTCAGAGGAGCATGCAAAGCATAGCAATCCCCAGTGTGATTATGACAGCTCCCTCCAATAACAAAACAAGGCTATGTTTAGAGGGATCAAGAAGAACTGTCTCAACTTTTATTTCCCTTGGGACCAGCCCATAGGATCACCACAATAACATTGTTGTGAAACCTCAATAAAATCAAAAACAGTTAAACCATAGCAGGCAACATACAGTGACTTATCACAACACAATGGCACATTTTTAAAGGGGTGGGGGAGAAAATATTTAACAGTAAATATCTCATCTGCCTGCAGAATTATCAATTTGCAAATGAACCAGTCTTGCAATTCAGGTAGTGCATATTGCTGTTGCTACCAACAGAGGGCACAAGACAAGCTCCATAGCCAAACCCACCTAGTTGGTAGCAAACCTCAGCAGTACAGGAGAGCAGGCAATACATTTCACAGCACACACACACACACACTATAAACAATTACATTACACACACCCTGCACCTATAATGGGTACAGGGTGACTAAAACATAAGATAAATAAAGCAGAATACATAAATAGTCTGTCTGAAGGTAGACTAGGGGCTTTAAAGCCAAATACATGAAAGAGTCATAGTCACAGGGGAGAAGGCTGGCAAGCAGGCCTCTCCAGGACCAAGTGGCGAAGGGCACTTCGTCACACAATTAATAAATAATAAGACCAGCCTACTAAGAGAATGAAATATAAAAGGCCAGCAAAACCTTTCAGAAACTTGACATCATGGGACACTTGTACTAAAGAACGATTTGCAGCTTTTTTTAAACTCTACATATTATGTACATACCTGCAAAGCAAGGAACTCCTGTAAACATAAACACAGAGACATTGATACAACAAGGAATCTGTAATGGTTCTATTGCAGATGTGATCTACTGATGTACTCCTTGCTCTTTTGGTATAACTATACCAATCAAAACATTAAATGGCTCAATAGAACCATAGACAAAGGATTCTTGCTATATTCTGGACTTCCAGGAATGTGGTACATAGACAGAAAAATTATAATTACTAAAGCAATCATGCTATTTTTTCCCCTGTATCACAAATGTGTCAGTGACAATATGTAATATAATACAGATACTTAATTAATGGTATAAAAAAAAAAACCACATAATGTGTTAATTAGACTTTGTGAGTATCTGAAATGTAATTGAAATATTAAATAAATAAAAATAAAATATTGCTAAAATGTCATATGCAGCTGCGGTCTGGCCTACAAACAAATATATTAGACATAAAGTATACCAGCTGATTATCCAGATGAATATATATTAATGCCTGTGTCTTGCAGCAATAGCTAAACAATGCAGATTCCTTTATATCTGATGGACATTTACTTGTAGATTAAATCCAAGCAGTGGCCAGATTATGTGATTTTAACAATGTATCTTTACATAATTGAATCATGATAGTTAAAGATCATATGATTACAATAACAACTGCAATAATAATTAATGTTTAAACTGTAGAAGAAAATGTAAAATGTTTTTATTAAATCAGAAACTCGATATTCGTTTAAGTTTTCAGAGTGGTATGATTAATATAATCTAATTAATATATGTGAAATACCTAAACAGTTAATGTAACGGAACTCCCTGTACTCTGACCGAGTACCTTCCGTTGATGGACGCTTCCTAGCCTGTGCCGAGAACCACAAGCACTGCACCAGACACCACAACCACCGTAGCTTAACTGGAGTCTCGCCATCTTCTGTCCACCCTGGATCAGCTTCTGTCCTCCAGGACCGTGTGGGGAAGACCTCTCCTCCAGGAGAGCATATCAGGAACAAGCTCTTAAAAGAGCTAAGTGATTAAAGCTCAGGGGAGTATGCAGAGCATAGCAATCCCCAGTGTGAGTATAGCTGTTCCCTCCAATCACGAGACTACGTGTTGAGGGTCAAAAAGATCTGTTTTAATTAGCACCAAAGGGCTTTCTTTTATGCAGGTTTTCCCTACATAGGACCACACACAGGGTTTTTCAGAACAACCAATAAAAACATTACAACACATACAATAAAGTAAACCGCCGATTTCAGTTCCATGGATTTGGCTACACATACCGTTGACCTTGTTCGAATGAACAAAGATTCGCACGAACTGCGGCCACCCAGCGGTCAGCAATTTACCTACAGCAGGCTCCCAGCCTGGGAGGTAAATTGCCTGCACATTTCCACTTCTGTGTGGTCTGCCTGTGTGGTACTTGGTTCAGTCAGCCCCATTTAGTGAACCAAGTGTAAAGAAGCCATGAATAAAGTACTTTAACCAAGTCTGGGGACACAGGCTTAAAGGGGCGGTGTCCCAAACTAGTCTGGAGACACCATCTTAAAAGGGCATTGTCCCAATTTTCCCCATGTCCCAAAAATGTGCTTAAAGGACCACTATAGTGCCAGGAAAACATACTCGTTTTCCTGGCACTATAGTGCCCTGAGGGTGCCCCCACCCTCAGGGACCCCCTCCCGCCCGGCTCTGGAAGGGGAAAGGGGTAAAAACTTACCTTTTTCCAGCGCTGGGCGGAGAGCTCTCCTCCTCCTCTCCGCCTCCGTTACGCCCCGCCGGCTGAATGCGCACGCGCGGCAAGAGCTGCGCGCGCATTCAGCCGGTCTCATAGGAAAGCATTTACAGTGCTTTCCTATGGACGCTGGCGTGCTCTCACTGTGAAAATCACAGTGAGAAGCACGCAAGCGCCTCTAGTGGCTGTCAATGAGACAGCCACTAGAGGGACTAGGGGAAAGGCTTAACCCATTGATAAACATAGCAGTTTCTCTGAAACTGCTATGTTTATTAAAAAATGGGTTAACCCTAGCTGGACCAGGCACCCAGACCACTTCATTAAGCTGAAGTGGTCTGGGTGCCTAGAGTGGTCCTTTAAAGGGCCAGCACCAGTCCAATGAAAGTCCATAAGCCGCAATAATGTTCTTAAAGGGCCATACACCCCAGGGCCATAGTCGCAGGACAGGAGGCTGGCAATCAAGCCTCTCCAGGACCAAGTGGTGAAGGGCACTTCATCAAAGTTAAAATTTAACTGAAAGACAGGCAGAAACTTTACTTCACTTATCACAAACCTTTATTTGTAATTATAAACATGTTCAGACTGCCAGAGCTAAGGTCAGTCAATGGAAGATAAAAGAGTATCATGGATTAACCCTTCCAAGTGATATACATGATAAATTTGGAAATTGATAACTTAGGTCACCTATTGCAAACAGGTGAAAATAAGTCAAAGATATGAATCAACATCCATACCACTATATGTATATATATTAAAATATTTGTGATCAAATATTTTATTTATCTGTTTACCAAGAAAATTTTATTTGGTTTGTGATGATT